TGTGTATATCACGAAAATAAACACGTGATTAAGAATGTGACAATGTCAGACCACGGAGGAAAAATGAAACAGGAAATTTCCTTAAGTACTTTCGTATATTAAATACATCTTCAGAAGGTCATTTTACCCATCACTCGATCTGTAAAATGACCTTCTGAAGATGTATTTAATATACGAAAGTACTTAAGGAAATTTCCTGTTTCATTTTTCTTCCGTGGTCTGACATTGTCATATATATATATATATATATATATATATATATATATATATATATATATATATATATATATATATATATATATATATATATATATATATATATATATTTATTTATTTATTTATTAAATATGACCGAAAAAGTAAGATTAATAATTCTAACACGAATTTTCTCAATATTTCTTATATTTCTTTTCACTGTTGATGGTAATTGAAAAATCAATTCTCCAAAATTCATTTTTATATCAAGTCTGACGCGACACTTGAACGCGTTTCGTAATAACTTATTACATTTAAAAAGACATTAGTTTACACACACAAGTATAACTTGCAAACACTAAACAGAGTTTAAACAGCTTTGATTTTATACCTGCATTTGGGTAAGGTGATATGTTACAACAGTTTTGGATGAGGTGAAAACAAACTTTCAGCACAAGACAGAACACGAAACAATGGGTATAATATTTTGTAAGTTAAAGGGAAGAATGGAAGTAACTGCAAAGGGCCTATTGGCCCATATTTCTTGATGCTTCTATATTGGTGCGAAGTCTTGAAGTGGGTAGAATATTGTTGTGCATTAATTGGCTGTTGATTGCTGGTGTCGACTTCTTAATGTGTAGTGCCTCGCAGATATCAAGCCGCTTACTATCGCTTTATCTATCGATGATTTCCGTGTTTTTTGTTAAGACTTCTCTGGTGATGGTCAGGTTGTGGGAAGAGATTATATGTTCCTTAATGGAGCCCTGTTGCTTATGCATCGTTAATCGCCTGGAAAGAGATGGTGTTGTCTTGCATATATACTGAATTGTTTGAGGCTTACAGTCTCCAAGTGGGCATTTGAGGGCATAGACGACATTGGTCTCTTTTAAAGCGTTCTGCTTTGTGTCTGGAGAGTTTCTCATGAGTAGGTTGGCCGTTTTCTTGGTTTTATAGTAGATCGTCAATTGTATCTTCTGATTTTTGTCTGTAGGGATAACGTTTCTATTAGCAATATCTTTCTGGACCCGTTTCCTCCGTTTTATGAGCTGTGGAAAAGAAGTTCCTGTAAAATAGTCTAATAGGGGGTACAGGTATTGTGTTAGTTGTCTCTTCAGAGGTTGCATGGCGTTTCACCTTCCTTTTTACATGTCTTCAACGAAACCATTGGAGAAGCCGTTATTGACTAGGACCTGCCTTACCCTACAGAGCTCTTCATCGACTTGCTTCCATCCTGAGCTGTGGCTGAGAGCACGGTCGACATAAACGTTAACGACACTCCTCTTGTACCTGTCTGGGCAGTCACTGTTGGCATTGAGGCACATTCCTATGTTTGTTTCCTTAGTGTAGACTGCAGTGTGGAAACCTCTGTTCCTTTCCATGACTGTTACATCTAGAAAGGGCAGCTTCCCATCCTTCTCCATGTCGCAAGTGAAACGCAACACAGAATTCCGCTCAAATTCCTCCTTCAGCTCCTGCAGATGTCTGACATCAGGTACCTGTGTAAAAATGTCGTCAACATACCTGCAGTATATGGCCGGTTTCAAGTTCATGTCGACTAAGACCTTTTGTTCGATGGTGCCCATGTAGAAGTTTGCAAACAGGACACCTAGGGGAGAACCCATGGCGACCCCATCTACTTGCTTATACATGTGGCCATCCGGGCTCAAGAAGGGTGCCTCTTTAGTACAAGCTTGGAGTAGTTTCCTTTGAATGTTTTCTGGTATGTCAAGAGGAGTACAGGCCGGATCACGATACACTCTGTCTGCTATCATCCCGATTGTTTCATCCACAGGTACGTTGGTAAACAGTGATTCTACGTCCAACGAGGCTCTTATCCCTGTGGCCCGTGTTCCCCGCAGTAAGTCAACAAATTCCTTTGGAGACTTCAGGCTGAAGGTGCAAGGGACATAAGGAGTCAGCAAGCCGTTGAGTCGCTTCGCTAGTCTGTACGTAGGTGTGGGTATCTGGCTAATGATTGGCCGAAGTGGGTTTCCAGGCTTATGTGTCTTGACATTTCCATACGCGTATCCAGGCTTATATTCCCCAATAATCTTTGGCAGGTGGAGTCTGGATTTCTTGGCGTTCACAGTTTCGATCAATTTGTTGACCTTTGCCTTCAATTCGGCTGTAGTGTCCTTCGTTACCCTTTGGAATTTAGTTTGGTCAGAGAGAATGAGGTTCATTTTCACCAGGTATTCGTCTTTTTTAAGAATGACGTATATTGGCGACTTGTCACCTCTTCTGATGACTATCTCCTTGTTCTCACGAAGGCTCTTAGCTGCCGCTTTGAGCTCGGGGGACAGTATGGTGCTTCTGTAATTGCCTCGATTCTTTCCTCCTTCCGCAATAAGTTCTGCTTGTAAGGTGTCTTTGGTGGTGACCTTCTTTTGCGTCTCGAGGTCGAATATGTCGTCCAACAGGTTAGGACGACATATTAACCTAACCTATCAATATAAAGATAGGTTAGGTTAGGTTTGGTAGGGTTGGTTAGGTTCGGTCATATAACTACGTTAATTTTAACTCCAATAAAAAAAATTGATCTCATACATAATGAAATGGGTAGTAGGATATGCCAAGAAACCTACAAACAGCATGGGACATATTACGCTAACAACACAATAACAAATAAATGACAAATACCATAACAAAAATGTACAAGAAAATATACACAAAAGTTACAACAAATGAACAAGAAATCCAAAAACTACACATAAGAACATAAATAGCATAAAATATGTACAAAGAATAAAGCAAGTTCCAGGACAAAGAAATAATCACACACACACACACACCTGAGGCAAGAAACACAAGGCAATAATAACAATAAACAGAACCACACAGGGAACTGAAAAGACAGAAAAGCAGAAGGCACAAAAACCATGCCAACGACCAAAAGGCCATAAGGACACAATTACATAATATAAACTATAAACAAAGCCAAAAGCAATACATGACACATACCCAAGGCAAGAAACACAAGGCATTAATAACAAAAAATAGAACCACACAGGGAACTGAAAATAAAGAAAAACAAAAAGCACAAAAACATGCAAACGACCAAAAGGCCGTAAGGACACAAGCACATAAAATAAACGATCACCACACGAAACACAAAACTGAACTGATTAAAACTGAACTGCATAATTTAATTGGGGCCTAACAAGAGCCAGATATATCACAAGAATATATATAACTGCAAAAGGCGTAAGAACATAAGCATTAAAGCCATTGCAGAAGATTTATTAGCACATACGAGGCAATTCTTATTTATATACACCCAAACTATTTTAAGCACTCGTAAGAAGATATGAAGTTGCATTGCAAGCAAGTTATCCCTGGAACAATTGCGTTTCATTGTGTCGTAAGAGATTAATATTAACGGAAGAGGGAGACTGCATGTAGCGTACTGTACACAACTGTTCCATGTAATAGTCATCGTGTAGTGCACCTGCCGATTTTGAAGCTGGAAACTGGTGCTCGCTGTTGCTCTACGTGTGATAATACTCCTGACCTAGTTTCTTGACATTCTTGATAGGAATGTGAAAATCACGGTTTTAACTTTTACTTTCTGACTCTAATATTACTTCACTGTTAGGTACTGAGACACATTGATCATGTACCCCTGACGCTGGTTCGACTCCTATAGCTTCCTTACATATGCTATACCGACTTTCATGTCTCGATGCAACATGCATGTCATTACTATCAGTAATGACCGACGAAGCATCACCATCAGTAATGACCGATGAAGCGCCACCTTCTTCAGTAATGGACGAAAAAACACCATTTTCGTCACACGCTCTTGATACACTGTTACCCAATATTAATATTAATAGATATTAATAGCTAGGGTATAAAAGTATGAACTCATGCCAGAACAAGAAACAATGGGTATTAATTTGAAAAATTTAGATTTAGAAAAGAACTGGGAAAATACTGTTTCGGTAACATGGTTTTTGAACCAATTACCGCGTAACATAATTAAGGTAGAATCCCATGATTGTTTCAAGCGTAGTTTAGACGTATATAAGACTCGTATTGGATGGATATAAATACGAGCTGCCTCGTATGGGCCAATAGACTTTCTGCAGTTACCTTCATTGTTATGTTCTTAAAAGCACCTGTGACATCTAAACGTGTTAAGAAAGTGCCAGTGGTATCCAAACATACACTGGCACCTGAAGCGCCACCTTCTTCAGTAATGGACGAAGAAACACCATTTTCGTTCATTCCTTCATTATACCACACAAACTGCCTGTGGTATCCAAATACGTTAAGGAAGTGCCTGTTGTATACAAACATTTTAAGGAAGCGCCTGTGGTATCCAAACACGTTATGGAAGTGCCTGTTGTATACAAACATGTTAAGGAAGCGCCTGTGGTATCCAAATACGTTAAGGAAGTGCCTGTTGTATTCAAACATGTTAAGAAAGTGCCAGTGGTATCCAAACATGGTAACAAACTGCCTGTGGTATCCAAACACGTTAAGGAAGTATTTGCTGTGTCCAAACATTTTAAGGAAGTGCCTGTGATTGCCACACATGTTCAGTAAATGCCTGTAATTTCCAAAAATGCTTAGGAAGTTCCTGTGCCATCCAAACATGTTCAGCAAGTCCTTGCAGTCTATGAACATCTTCAAGATATGTCCCTTACTAACAAATAAATAATTAATTTTCTACAAGGATAACGTAACTACATTGGAATAGTATTTTATAAAGCAAATAATGTTTAGGAAATTTCCCTGTTTGGCCTCAACCTTGCCATGGAAGTTTGGAAAGTGAATTACAGACACATCAGTTGGCTCACGTGTTCAGCTCCTGGTACCCGGCATTGCCCGGGACGTTAGTAGTCCATGCGAGTGGCGAGCCGAAGGCTGTCTGTCCTTGATACGAGCCCTGGCTGGCCTGTGCACCATACCAGTCCAGCTTGGTATCGCCCACCCGCCAGGCGTCGTACTTAGCGTAGTGGACTTCGCTCCCCAGACTGCTTACAGTGATGTCGATGGCACAGGCGTCTGTCTCGGCGTTCTCGGTGCAACCTATGATACCAAATATATCAATAATTAATGTGAACCTCTCCTTCCTCTGTCCCTTTATCTCGTGTTCACTCTTTATTTGAAAGTGTAACGAATAAAAAGGAGTTTCGTGTTTATTTATTGTAAAAAATGTTTTCTATATGGTCAATTGTATATTTTCCAAAGCACTTTTGCTCCTTGAACATGATATGCAAATTCAGTTACATGTCACCATTTACTGCTGGGCGTGGAGGTAGATTGAATATACGAACATTTAAAAATTTATATCTTATCTTGACTGTAGCTCAGATTTTTTTGAGTTGCATGAACAACTTCCACTGGATGGGAGTAAAATGTGATTTATGCTTTTGTAACCTAAAGTGCATAGTGTGGAGCGAAGTCAGTGACTACAAGAGGTTTGTGCTAGAATCGTCAGCTATTTAGTGAAAGACATGCATCAGTCTTGACTTCCCAAGACTAGTGTGAGCTCTGGTCATGGCTAAAGTTAGACAAAAGAAGTAACGAGCAGCAGAGCTGGTCAGCGTTTATGAAGCCAGAGAAGAGAGCTGTAACAACAAGGTCGGATAGCTGGAGAATTATTGACTAACTTCGTGGAATGTTTTATTTACAAAATCATAACGTGTACTGAAAGAAAGACAAATATAAGTGCTTAAGTGCTGGATTTATTTAATTGATAATAGGTACCTTGACCCGACTGTTAAGCACTGTGATTTCTCAGGACGTTTTAATATACAAGAGGCAGTCATGAAGAAAATCCTGCTTGTGAAGAGTTGCTTGTCAAGTATAGGAAAGAACGAAATATAACTTGGACAATCGTAGTGACCTTTATCATACGTGATCAGGATCACGTACATCACGTGAATGATATCAAGGGTTAGTGATTGGTTATTCAGGTTAGTTGCTATCAACAGAAAACTGGATATATACTGAGTATAAAATGCAATATCACGAATTGATAATTGACCCAAATTGTATTGTGAATGCAACTAATGCATGGTGTGGGGATAACACCGTTCGTTTAGCTCTCGTGTCCTGCTAGTTCGACATACCACCCATACATTGACTTATTCTTACAGATGCCTGAACCATTCCTGCTCTTCTCAGTTTCTGTCATGCTTACAGTCTCCCGGTCAGCCAATTTAATAGCTACTTATTACGAGGCTCTGTTTTAGCCCCCCCCCCAAAAAAAAAAATAACAAAATTGAAACTCCAGAAGGCTAATTGGAGCTCGCGAGACAGATTATATTTATACCAATTCAAACTCATCCATATATTTATCTAATCTGGGATCCCACATTCATTATGTTAACTGTTAATTTTCCTAAAAAATCCACAACCCAATACGGTTGGGTTGGGTAAATACGGGTAAACCCGTATTTACCCAGGTTTGACCTGAATCTGAACTTAACAAATTTATATCCATTCTTACCAGTTCTATTTTCAGTAGATATTAAACCTTTTCTCTATCCACTTAATTTTTCCCTTCAGTCCACTAATATGCGAGTGACTCATGCCACCCGAAACTCTTCACCTTTTAACGAATTATTATTTAGGTTTCCTTAACTGTCTTCATGAGGGAGGTTTCTAACTCCTAAGATTATTCATGTCATTAGTTGAAATGAAATTATGTTCATTCTAGAAGACGGAGACCAAAGCTGAACTGTCTAATATAAGCTGGGCATAACAGAAGTAAGAAATCCTGAGGAATATTATTAGTTTTTGCCTATTCTATACATATGTGCATATACATTTTACCTTCAAACATGTTGGTAGTTGTGTTATACCCATATCTTACCTTTGGGTAGCTGAGTTATACCCATAGCTCACCTGTAGGTAGCAGTGCTCTATACCCATAGCTCGCCTGTGGGTAACAGTATTATACCCATTGCTCACCTGTGGGTAACAGTGTTATACACATAACTCACCTGTGGGTGCACAACCCGTTCTCGCAAATTCGTAAAGTCAATATTGACTTATTAACTACGTGCATAGGTGATATACTAAACATAATAGATACCCTTAAAAAGATTCATAGAAAACACCGACCTTACCTAACCTTGTTAGTATCTTAAGATAAGCATCTTATTGCTTCGTAATTACAATTATTACTTAACCTATACCTATTATAGGTTAGGTAATAATTGTAATTACGAAGCAATAAGATGCTTATCTTAACATACTAAGTAGGTTAGGTAAGGTCGGTGTTTTCTATGAATCTTTTTAAGGGTATCTATTATGTTAAGTATGTCACCTATGCACATATTTAATAAGTCAATATTGACTTATTAAATTTGCGAGAACGGGTTGGTGGGCAACATTGTTATACCCAAAACTCACTTGTGGGTAGCTGTGTTATACCCATAGCTCATCTGTGGGTAGTTGTGTTATACCCATAGCACTACTGTGGGTAACAGTGCTATAACCATAGCTCACCTGTGGGTAACAGTGCTATACTCATAGCTCACCTGTGAGCGGCAGTGTTATACCCACAACTCACATTTGGGTTGTTGTTTGTTATTTCCCATAGCCAGCCCATCCTCTTGTTTTGGTAGTACTTAAAGTAACGATGATGACCATAGTATATATACCGATGTTCAACGAAGTTAGAAAGTAGAAAGCTGAACTATTGAGTTGGACAAACCGGAAAACTATTTTTTTACTTGTGTTGCTTAGACAAACTAAACTAACGTAACCTAACCTTCCTAACCCTAATACACGATATCTGAGGCCTAATATAGTACATATGTGTGCTATACTAGGTCTAGGAATATTTAAGTTTGATTTTTAGCTTAATATATTTTAAAAGAATTCCTTACTAGTCAGTATACTACTATCTAAAAGTCAAGTACGTACGATTTCGTGACTATTGACAATCGTCACAGTAGTTACTATCTAAACAGGAGGATGGGTTACCATAGCTCACCTGTGGGCAGCTGTGTGTTATACCCATAGCTCACCTGTAATGGGAAAACTTTCCACATCTATAAAAGCTTTAACACAACATGCAGTAAAAATTGCTGCTGTTTTTGTGTTAATCAAATAATAAATTATATTAAATTAATTAACCCCAAAAGAATATGTACGTGACAATTTCTCTCTATAAAAGTCTCCAAATCATCTCGCATCAAAATCTAATTACCCATAACTACTCTAATCTGAGGAGTTAGTGTATTAGAAAACGATACAATAAATAAATAAAGTAAATCAAATTATGAGTACCCAAATAAATAGAATAAACATCTGGGAATCAATTAACACGAATTTGGGGACAAGTTCCTTGCCAGCTTGAGAAGAAGGACTGCCATATGGAATTTGGGACTGAACAGATTGTCAACACGAGCATTGTTTTATTACAAGTTATTCTGGTAACGTTGAGCAGCTCTGATCAACACCATCAGTTCCTGTAGAGCCAACATTTTCCGTTTCAGTATATAAGTAGTAGAGCTGTTCCATTTATTTACATACTGTTTCGGTTATGACATAGACCTCATAACAACTAAAGGGCGAGCACCTTTATTATCACCCTTAATATCAATAGTATGTAAATAATTTAACCCATATAATTTAAATACATTTATGAAGTAGATTTTACTGGGTAATTCGTTGGTAGATAAATTGAGCTGTGTGGAGGTTACAACCTTTTGTAGTCGCCTACAGACGCCACAGCTTTTTAATCGTCGCCTACAGACGCCACAGCTTGTTGATCGTCGCCTACAGACGCCACAGCTTGTTGATCGTCGCAAACAGACGCCACAGTTTGTTGATCGTCGCCTACAGACGCCACAGCTTGTTGATCGTCGCAAACAGACGCCACAGCTTGTTGATCGTCGCAAACAGACGCCACAGCTTGTTGATCGTCGCAAACAGACGCAACAGATTGTTGATCATCGCAAACAGACGCAACAGATTGTTGATATTCGTCTACATACGACACAGCTTGTTGATCGTCGCCTAAATATTCTTCACAGCTGGTTGATCGTCGCCTCCAGATGTCACAGCTTGTTGATCGTCGCCAACACACGCCCAACCTGTTAATCGTCACAGACTGACGCCACAGAGTGTTGACCGTTGCCCACAGTCGCCATAGCTTGTTAACCCTCGCCAATAGACGCCACAGCTTGTTGATCGTCGCCTACAGACGCCACAGCTTGTTGATCGTCGCCTACAGACGCCACAGCCTGTTTACGGTCACCTACAGACGCCAAAGCATTTTTATGGTCGCCTACGGACGCCACAGCTTGTTGATCAAATCAAATCAAATCAAATCAAATTCAGGTAAAGTACATACATAAGAGGTGGTTATCTTCTTGAGGGTATCTTGAGATGATTTCGGGGCTTTAGTGTTCCTGCGGCCAGGTCCTCGACCAGGCCTCCACCCCCAGGAAGAAGCGCTCGAACCCGGGACCACAGGATCACAAGTCCAGTGTGCTGTCCGCTCGGCCGACAGGCTCCCGGCTCGGCCGACCGGCTCCGACCGACAGGTGAGATCAAACATTGATGGATTTATAGATAGAGCTAGTACATACAATTCCTAAAGCCACTATTACGCAAAGTGGATCGTCGCCTACAGACTCCACAACTTGTGGAGTCTGTAAACAACTAGCTGATCGTTGCCTCCAGACGCCACAGCTTGTTGAGCGTCGCCTACAGACGCCACAACATTTTGATCGTCGCCTATAGACGCCACAGCTTGTTGATCGTCGCCTACAGACGCCACAGCTTGTTGATCGTCGCCAACAGACGCCACAGCTTGTTGATCGTCGCCTACAGACGCCACAGCTTGTTGATCGTCGCCTACAGACGCCACAGCTTGTTGATCGTCGCCTACAGACGCCACAGCTTGTTGATCGTCGCCAACAGACGCCACAGCTTGTTGATCGTCGCCTACAGACGCCACAGCTTGTTGATCGTCGCCTACAGACGCCACAGCTTGTTGATCGTCGCCTATAGACGCCACAGCTTGTTGATCGTCGCCTACAGACGCCACAGCTTGTTGATCGTCGCCAACAGACGCCACAGCTTGTTGATCGTCGCCTACAGACGCCACAGCTTGTTGATCGTCGCCTACAGACGCCACAGCTTGTTGATCGTCGCCTACAGACGCCACAGCTTGTTGATCGTCGCCTACAGACGCCACAGCTTGTTGATCGTCGCCTACAGACGCCACAGCTTGTTGATCGTCGCCTACAGACGCCACAGCTTGTTGATCGTCGCCAACAGACGCCACAGCTTGTTGATCGTCACATTCACTCGCCACAGCCATGTGACTGAACGTGCCTGGCCTGGCTATCTAGAATTTCTGCTACAATAACAGCTAAGCAGTTTTTCTGTTTTAAAGAATATAACTAAAGAATATAACTAATATTCAGTAGATTTGAACAATAGAGTAATTCAAATTTACCTAAACTAAGATAACACTTATGAGGCAACTAAGAAGGTAATTCCTGTATAATTGAAATTATAGATAAACCCCTAAGTTTGTGAGTTGTTTATTAGTGGGATAAATATCTCTTTTTCCCACTTACTTAAATAGTCTCTTGATGTATTAAATAATTTAATATTAAATTCTAACATAACTATTTATAGTAAATAAATAATTATAAATTCACAATGGTAAATTTCCGACACCTTGTGGATAGAAATGCGTTATACCCATAGCTTACCTGTGGGTATCAGTGTTGTTCCCATAGCTTACCTTGTGGGTATCAGTGTTGTTCCCATAGCTTACCTTGTGGGTATCAGTGTTGTTCCCATAGCTTACTTGTGGGTAGCAGAGTTATACCCATAGCTTACTTGTGGGTAGCAGAGTTATACCCATAGCTTACTTGTGGGTAGCATTGTTATACCCATAGCTTACTTGTGGGTAGCAGTGTTATACCCATAGCTTACTTGTGGGTAGCAGTGTTATACCCATAGCTTACTTGTGGGTAGCAGTGTTATACCCATAGCTTATCTGTGGGTAGCAGTATTATACCCATAGCTTACTTGTGGGTAGCAGAGTTATACCCATAGCTTACTTGTGGGTAGCAGTGTTATACCCATAGCTTACTTGTGGGTAGCAGAGTTATACCCATAGCTTACTTGTGGGTAGCATTGTTATACCCATAGCTTACTTGTGGGTAGCAGTGTTATACCCATAGCTTACTTGTGGGTAGCAGTGTTATACCCATAGCTTACTTGTGGGTAGTAGTGTTATACCCATAGCTTATCTGTGGGTAGCAGTATTATACCCATAGCTTACTTGTGGGTAGCAGAGTTATACCCATAGCTTACTTGTGGGTAGCAGTGTTATACCCATAGCTTATCTGTGGGTAGCAGTATTATACCCATAGCTTACTTGTGGGTAGCAGAGTTATACCCATAGCTTACTTGTGGGTAGCAGTGTTATACCCATAGCTTACTTGTGGGTAGCAGAGTTATACCCATAGCTTACTTGTGGGTAGCATTGTTATACCAATAGCTTACTTGTGGGTAGCAGTATTATACCCATAGCTTACTTGTGGGTAGCAGTGTTATACCCATAGCTTACTTGTGGGTAGCAGTGTTATACTCGTAAGTTACGTCAGGGTACCTGTGTTATACATGTAACTCACCTGTGGGTATTAGTGTAATATACTCAAAGCTCGACTGTTGGTATCAGTTATAAGTATATTTTTAAACATGTGGCCTATAGTGTGACCTTTATCAAGATCTTGTGTGACCTGAGATGTTATCTTCAACATACAAGTGACCCATTGTGTCAAGGGATTACTCGTGCCATATTGAAACTCACTTGTATGACCGCCCCGTAAATATAAATGGTTATCAGTGACATCATGTGTAGAAAACTCAGTGGGTCCTTGAGGGAATGAACACACAACCCTGTGTGGAACACTCAGTGGATCACTAATTGCAGTGTATACACATGCAATTATGGAACACCCACGGGTCCCTGAGGGAGTGAACACATCAGCAAATGTGACTGCTTTGTACTCTGGAGTGTTCCATACACATCATTGGGTGCCAAAAGAACATGAATCAGACACAGTTCGTGGCCACACCGGTGTGTGCAGCGTGACCTGGCCCTCACCTGGCCGTTGAGAGCCGTCGATGCCACCACGGATGAAGAGGTCTTGGCCCACGCTGGTCTGATCGTGGACGAACACCACCGTCCTGGCCGTGCCAGTCACGGGCGGCTTGGTGGAGTGATCTGTTGACAAGCAGACACTAGGTCAAGCTGGGTCACATATACACCAGGTCAAGCTGGGTCACATATACACCAGGTCAAGCTGGGTCACATATACACCAGGTCAAGCTGGGTCACATATACACCAGGTCAAGCTGGGTCACATATACACCAGGTCAAGCTGGGTCACATATACACCAGGTCAAGCTGGGTCACATATACACCAGGTCAAGCTGGGTCATATATACACCAGGTCAAGCTGGGTCATATATACACCAGGTCAAGCTTGGTCATGGGTCACGGTGTGGTAGGACCCGGGTCATGGGTCACTGTGCGGTAGGACCCGGGTCATGGGTCACGGTGCGGTAGGACCCGGGTCATGCGTCACTGTGCGGTAGGACCCGGGTCATGGGTCACGGTGCGGTAGGACCCGGGTCATGGGTCACGGTGCGGTAGGACCCGGGTCATGGGTCACGGTGCGGTAGGACCCGGGTCATGGGTCACGGTGCGGTAGGACCCGGGTCATGGGTCACGGTGTGGTAGGACCCGGGTCATGGGTCACGGTGCGGTAGGACCCGGGTCATGGGTCACAGTATGGAAGGGCCCGGGTCATGGGTCACGGTGCGGTAGGACCCGGATCATGGGTCACTGTGTGGTAGGACCCGGGTCATAGGTCACGGTGCGGTAGGACCTGGGTCATGGGTCACGGTGTGGTGTGACCCGGGTCATGGGTCACGGTGTGGTGTGACCCGGGTCATGGGTCACGGTGCGGTAGGACCCGGGTCATAGATCACGGTGCGGTAGGACCCGGGTCATGGGTCACGGTGCGGTAGGACCCGGGTCATGGGTCACGGTGTGGTGTGAACCGGGTCATGGGTCACGGTGTGGTGTGACCCGGGTCATGGGTCACGGTGCGGTAGGACCCGGGTCATAGATCACGGTGCGGTAGGACCCGGGCCATAGATCACGGTGCGGTAGGACCCGGGTCATAGGTCACGGTGCGGTAGGACCCGGGTCACAGGTCACGGTGCGGTAGGACCCGGGTCATAGGTCACGGTGCGGTAGGACCCGGTTCATGGGTCACGGTGCGGTAGGACCCGGGTCATGGGTCACGGTGTGGTAGGACCCGGGTCATGGGTCACGGTGCGGTAGGACCCGGGTCATGGGTCACGGTGTGGTGTGACCCGGGTCATGGGTCACGGTGCGGTAGGACCCGGGTCATGGGTCACGGTGTGGTGTGACCCGGGTCATGGGTCACGGTGTGGTGTGACCCGGGTCATGGGTCACGGTGCGGTAGGACCCGGGTCATAGGTCACGGTGCGGTAGGACCCGGGTCATAGGTCACGGTGCGGTAGGACCCGGGTCATAGGTCACGGTGCGGTAGGACCCGGGTCATGGGTCACGGTGTGGTGTGACCCGGGTCATGGGTCACAGTGCGGTAGGACCCGGGTCATAGGTCACGGTGCGGTAGGACCCGGGTCATGGGTCACGGTGTGGTGTGACCCGGGTCATGGGTCACGGTGCGGTAGGACCCGGGTCATAGGTCACGGTGCGGTAGGACCCGGGTCATAGGTCACGGTGTGATAGGACCCGGGTCATGGGTCACGGTGTGATAGGACCCGGGTCATGGGTCACGGTGCGGTAGGACCCGGGTCATGGGTCACGGTGCGGTAGGACCCGGGTCATGGGTCACGGTGCGGTAGGACCCGGGACATGGGTCACGGTGTGATAGGACCCGGGTCATGGGTATTGATGAGGTGGGACCCGGGTCAAGAGTCATATGGTACAGTGGGATCCGGGCTAAAGGTCATAGGTCAAGGTATCGTTTAAAACAGGTCATGGTGTTAGTGGAATTACGGTGATGATTTAAAAAACGATAGCATAATATTTTTTATTATTTGTACACCAAAAAATTTAGTTATTTTTCCAATAGTTTATCAGTTTCAATTGAAATGAATGAAATAATCAACGTCATAAGTCAGAGAAATAGTCAAATGAATCACTTATGTTTATCTGAGTGCATTAGTCTGGTTGTGTTTGAGTGCTTGACTGGTAGAATTTATGAATTCAAATCTTTGAGAGATGCTGATTAGTTCTCTCAAGTATTTACAATTTGTCGTGACTGTTAGTTGAGACCCAATTCCTAAACTTTCATGTTAATGAGCAACTCCAGACTCTTCGCTCAGGTCTGAGACAATAGCTACAGAAGAACATCAAGGTCAGCCTTGTGGTCCGTACTTGGGTCGATTGTTGGTCCAACTCCGTCACACCCGGCACAGATTGCAAACATGGGCTCCTCGGAGTTGTTAATGGTGATCTGGGCTGTTCCATCACCGTTCACCGTCACAGTGTTGGCACAGCTGCTGATTAACTCACAGTATGTTCCCGCAGGCATACCTGATGAGATAGTGAACATGGTGTTAGGGTTAGTAACTTTAGTCTCTAAGGTATGCCAAACGAGCGATAATGAACATAGAATGAGAAATAGAATGAATAGATTCTTAGGCGTACCTGAAGAGGGAGATGGTGTGCAGGAGTGTGAGAAAGTGGTATGTACTCAGGCACAGATTCCAAAAATTCCAAAAATCTAATTTAAAAACTAAACAAATTCATACTGTCTTACGTGTTTTACTGCATGTTAGTCTCTTAACTAAGATTCTTAACAATGATGAAATATGTATAAAAATTGAGCTCTTCAATTCTTTTTGGTATCAACTTGAATGAGAAATTCCAATACATAATTGCATGATAGCAAGATTTCTTTCACTTGGATCATATCAGCTTCGAACATGGGCTTAAAAAATGTGTGACAATTGTACCTAGATGCGGACTTACTTAACGATGACATTGATTAATATTTGCGTTAAAGACAATAGTTATTCCTCTTCTACAATCGCAAAAAAATATATAACACAAATAGGATACAAACTAATAAAAAACAGGAGCACGATGTTTTGGAAAAATTAGTGAGCCTTTTACACACATTGTGTCAACACTCACCAGTCTGGAGAACTTTGTCGAATGAGCCATACTTGGACATGGCAAAGAAGCCCTTATCGCCACGAGAGAAGGCGACGTTGTCACCCTCCAAGTACCAGTTAGCAATCTGAGTGCCAGCCACCGCGTTCCTGAACTTCACCTGAAGTACAATTAAGCATTTGGTCATCCATCACTAACTAAAGAGAGATGTAATAGGCCAGCTCTATCACACGTCACTTCTCTGAACAACGACAAGGTTCATGTTTTAGTCGTCCCAGGTAAACTTGCAAAACGACAAATTATAGACTAAAATAGATAAAGTTATTCCAATTCTCATATGAGAACATTTCGTGGCTATCATTATTAAATGATAGTTGATTAACCACAAGGTAATTATTCCTTTACATAGTTAATCACTGAAGTTATTCAAACTATACAAGGTGGTGACAGAGGTTAGTTCCATGCAAAGTTACGCTCGTTACAAGAGAAATTTGCAATCTTTTTAGTGGAACTAAACTCCCTGAGAAGATGAAAGTGAGTTAAAACCACATATTTCCACTAAAATTAGTTGTAACCATTGAGGTAACATATCTGCAGCAGCTAAAGTAATGACTTCTCTGAGGAAATGACCGGCCATATTACATCACCATTTAAAAGATGTGAATTTATGGTGATTTTGTTCTTTTTAGTTTTGCGAATTACTAAACCTTCCAAATTTCTCTTACATACTAAGAGTTAATTATACGCATATGACAATTAATTATATGATACAAGAACATTGAAAGATTCCTAGGTAAGACAAGTATAATGCCTAAAACCACTAATGTGCATAGCATATAACAAAATTATAGCAAATGTAATACTTCTCTGTACAATGTCTACTATATCTTCACTCTTTATTTGTATTAGGGAGGTAAGAACCATTAGATGAATGATCAGGTTCTGAGTGCAAGAGTATGAAGGTCAATTCACTTCTTATATGTCACCCCTGCTACACAGTCTCCTTTCTGCAGCCGGTCGAACATTTTAGGACAAACAATACTGACATAACCATCACTGGCATGGAACCTGTATCTTGTGAGGTGTAACGCAAAAATTAAAAAAGTACTAAGGTGTGTAAATGATTGGAGCCTGAGCTAAGAGGGATAACCTTCAAAGAAAGGGTCATGGCACTAAATTTCAGAACCCTAGAACATAGTAGGAACAGAGGGGATATGATCACAACTTACAAGATACTGAGGGAATTGATAATTTGGGAAAGGAGTGCCTCTTCACAAGCATAAATTAGCCGAAGGGACATTAGAAAGTTCTCGTACCCTGTATGGGTAGTTCACAAGAGGATTGCTCTAAATAAAAGATTTTTAATTCCTTCCGTTTTCACTTCTGGTCAGTTTATTTCCTCTTCTGGACAGGCCCCAAGATGTTGCATTTTGGGTTTGGGAAAAACTTATAAGGAGGGGGAAAGGAACTGACTGAAATTAATAACGGGGAGAGGGAGGGTGAGAGGCAAGAAGGGAGTAGAAGGGAGAGAAAATAAGGAGAGATCATAGATTGAAGTAAAAGGGAAAGAAACAGGAATGGAGCTGCCATAATCCTGATCTTGCTTCACTTAAGCTGACCAAGAGAACCTTACTAGGATTACCCCTTAGAGTATCATTACAGTCTAACAATACTCTATTACTGGGGCATTGTTAAAGGTATTATTAAACTCAGTAATTTACATTAAAATGTTACTCTATTCAATTTACCAACTTCCCACTCTAGTCAGAAAATTTGTTACTATTTTTAAAGCTTCACCACTACTACTAAGGAAAGGTAGCCTACAACATCCATACATTCACACCACACTCTACTATACTGGACTCCTGGAAAAACTACACTGTATTTGTTAATTTCATTTGTCCTGACATAGATAATGAAACTCACCTCAAAACCACCATGGATGATGGCTGGGGGCTCAAGGATTTCTGACTCTGGTTTTCTCTCTGATGTGACTTACTCTTATAACTACTCCAAGCCTCCTTATATGAGAGCTGTAACTCCCTAACTAGCGTAAGTATCACTAAGGTACAAAACTGATGACTACTTGATACTGACTAGGCTCATGCCTCACATTGCTAAGCCCATCACCTCTCCCTCACACCCTCACACCATTTCACTCTTTACACACTCTTCACACACACACACACACACACACACACACACACACACACACACACACACACACACACACACACACACACACACACACACACACGCAGGTATCCTGGTGGATAGCGCGCATGACTCGTAATTCTGTGGCGCGGGTTCGATTCCCGCACCAGGCAGAAACAAATGGGCAAAGTTTCTTTCACACCCTGAATGCCCCTGTTACCTAGCAGTAAATAGGTACCTGAGAGTTAGTAAGCTGTCACGGGCTGCTTCCTGGGGTGTGTGTGTGGTGTGGAGAAAAAAAAAGTAGTTAGTTAACAGTTGATTGACAGTTGAGAGGCGGGCCAAAAGAGCAAAGCTCAACCCCCGGAAACACAACTAGGTGAATACAACTAGGTGAATACACACACACACACACACACACACACACACACACACACACACACACACACACACACACACACACACACACACACACACACACACACACACACGCACAGTTCCCCGGAACTGAGAGGAATGAGCTACGAGGAAAGGCTAAGAGAGCTGAACCTCACAACCCTGGAAAACAGATGAGTGAGGGGAGACATGATAACCACCTACAAAATTCTCAGGGGAATTGACAGGGTGGACAAAGACAAACTCTTTAGCACGGGTGGAACACGAACAAGGGTACACAGGTGGAGACTTCGTACCCAGATGAGCCACAGAGACGTTAGTAAGAATTTTTTCAGTGTCAGGGACGTTAACAAATGGAATGCATTAAGTAGTGTTGTGGTGGAGGCTGACTACATACACAGTTTCAAATATAGATATGATAGAGCCCAATAGGCTCAGGAATATGTACACCAGTTGATTGACAGTTGAGAGGCGGGACCAAAGAGCCAGAGCTCAACCCCTGCAAACACAACTAGGTGAGTACACACACACACACACACACACACACACACACACACACACACACACACACACACACACACACACACACACACACACACACACACACACACACACAGCTCCCACTCACCCCAGATCCCAAAGGTCCCCCCCAGAAAAGAAGCAGAAGAGAGTCAGTTTCAGGGTGATGTACTCGAACATAGATGGGATCACAAGCAAGACAAGTGAACTAAGGGAAAGAGCACAAGAAGTTAACCCAGATGTAATCGGACTCACTGAAACAAAACTCTCTGGAATCATAACGAATGCCGTGTTTCCCCAGGAGTATACAGTAATAAGGAAAGAGAGGGAAGGTAGAGGAGGAGGCGGAGTGGCCCTACTCATGAGAAGGGAATGGAGTTTTAAGGAGATGGCCATCCCGGGCTGTGAGGAGTTCAGAGACTACATAGCAGGCACCATAACAATGGGAGGACCAAGAATAGTAGTAGCAGTAATATACAACCCTCCACCAAATGACAGGAGACCCAGTCAAGAGTATGAAAACAACAACAAGGCAGTTAACACTATAATTGAGAGGGCAGCCTCTGCTGCCTGTAGAAATAGATCCCACCTGCTCATCATGGGCGACTTCAATCACGGAAAGATTGACTGGGAGAACAAGGAACCGCATGGAGGCGAGGATACGTGGAGAGCCAAACTATTGGAGGTGGTGACAAGCAACTTTTTAACCCAGCATGTCGGAGAACCCACAAGGATGAGAGGCAATGACGAACCAGCGAGACTCGACCTAGTCTTCACTCTGAACGACTCCGACATAAGAGAAATCGGTTTTGAGGACCCAGTAGGAATGAGCGACCACAGTGTACTGGTGTTTGAGTACTTGATTGAAGAAGGGTTATTGAACTCGAGGAGGGATACCGAAACCAAAAGGTTAGCATACCGAAAGGGAAACTATGAGGGGATAAGAAAATTCCTAACAGATATAGCATGGGAAACAGAGCTCAGGGGAAAGACGGCCCAAGATATGATGGATTACATCACGCAGAAGTGCAAGGACGCAGCGAACAAGTTTGTCCCAGTCCAAAAGGAAAACAGAGAAATGAAGATGAGAAACCCATGGTTTAATCAAAGATGTAGGCTAGCTAAGCAGCAAAGTAAAAGAGCATGGAGAAACTATAGGAATAACAGGACACTGGAGAGCAGAGAAAGATACCAGAATGCCAGGAATGAATATGTCAGGATGAGAAGAGAGGCAGAAAGACAATACGAAAATGACATCGCAAGCAAGGCAAAGACTCAGCCTAAATTGTTGCATAGCCACATTAGGAGAAAAACAACAGTAAAGGAACAGGTTATGAGATTAAGGATAGGGGCGGAAGGATTCACTACAAATGACAAGGAAGTGTGTGAGGAATTGAATAAGAAATTCCAGGAGGTCTTCACCTTAGAACAAGGAGAAATTCCAGAGGTAAGTGAGGGAATAGCTAACCAGGAACCACTGGAAGAGTTTGAGATTACCAGTGGGGAAGTAAGGAAGTGTTTACTAGAGTTGGACGTGACAAAGGCTATAGGCCCAGATGGAATCTCCCCTTGGGTTCTAAAGGAAGGAGCAAGAGAACTGAGCCTACCACTCTCCATAGTGTATAACAAATCACTGGCAACAGGGGAACTGCCAGATATTTGGAAAGCAGCTAACGTAGTCCCGATATACAAGAAAGGGGATAGACAGGAGGCACTGAACTACAGGCCAGTGTCCCTAACCTGCATACCATGCAAGCTGATGGAGAAGATTGTGCGAAAAAAACTAGTGGAGCATCTGGAGCGAAGGAACTTTGTAACACAGCATCAACATGGGTTCAGGGATGGCAGGTCCTGCCTCACAGGGTTACTTGAATTCTACGACCAGGCAACAAAAATAAGGCAAGAAAGAGAAGGGTGGGCAGACTGCATATTTTTGGATTGTCAGAAAGCCTTTGATACAGTGCCACACAAGAGGCTAGTGCGAAAGTTGGAGATGCAGGCTGGAGTGAGAGGGAAGGTACTCCGGTGGATAGAGGAATACCTAAGCAACAGGAGACAACGAGTCTGTGTGAGGGGTGAGGTCTCAGATTG